AGCAAACAATATTTGTATTAATCAAGGAAATGCCGATTACTATGTTGAGCACTGATAATGATACAGAAAATGAATCTCCAGTTCTCAACTGTCAGTCTTATCAGTGCCACTGATGATAATCAGTGCAAACGCCTACGCGTACGCTCCTCAGGCAGGCAGGTTGTTCAATACTCGATTTTCTGAAAAGTGGTGGACTCGCCATAGCACACAACACACTGACTCGTGCGGATTAGATTTAGTGGCGGTCATCATCAACAAGGCAGACACAGACAAACACTGAACATCACAAGCAGTACTGCATATTAGTGGTTGAACGACAGTCAAATGACAAACGCAAAATGAGGAAAAATTAACTCTAGTTTGCAAAGGAATAGAGGACAGAGAGTCAGCAGATGTGGCTCTGGTGACTTGACTGATTGGCGTTCGGAGAAATCGGTACGTCATCTAATTCCTGCTAAACGCCAAACAGCCAAACACTGCTGCCAGCATCACTCATCAACACATTGAAGAGAGGGAGAGTGTGAGACTTTAAAGGCACCAGAGTGAAGAAGGAGCTGCTTGGGAAGAGGAGCACAGACTAAACCGACTACTGTCTTTCCAATGAAAAATGATTTCATTGCCTGAGATGCGCCTCAGCACTGAACAAATGAGTCGCTAATTAGCAATTACCACTACTGTGCGAGACAGTTACAGATGTTGCAATTGGAGGCGATAAGAGAAAGAGCGAGAACATGAATGAAGGCGATGCTGATGGCGCCCTTCAGTGACTCACACTGAGTACAAGTCGGTGGCGGTGTGGCCGTACCGGGTGTTAGAGGGACAAAAGTGCTAATTGGCACCTCAAGCACACACACACACACCAACACCGTTAGCCTGGTGATTGCACTGGCGATAGCATTGCATCGGACAATCGGGCAAGATCCGTCCATATGAAGAACAAAGTCGGCGAACATGAGTAAAGCACCCGAACTTAAGGTTAGTCTTTCCGCGACTAAATATGAGACTGCAGGCTAATTTAAGCTTGGGAAGTCCCGTAGTGTGAAGACAATCTATCTGGCGATATGTCGTTTACTGGAAACGTTTCTTCAACAGCGTCAATCCGCGTATTATAAATCTCCCAGTACTCTGCCTGGGTAGATTATGGCTAAACACTAATTTGCACTCAGATAAAGGAAAGAAACAACAACACAGGGTGCCTTTTGTAGGTAAAAAGGTGATTTGTGAAGTGCTGTACAGCCAAATAATCACTAAAGATTGTACAGCCATTTGCGGAAATTGTCTAATGAGTGTACAGTTCTCGTGAAAGGCAAGAGCACAGAGTGAACCGGGGCTGACAATTAGAGCAATGCCAAGCAATAGTGACAGGTACACTTTGTGCACATCTGTATTACCAAAGAGCCCCCCACTTGATTGCAATTGCAACCTAAAAACTGAGAACAGCAAAACTAGCAGTACCCTAACAGTAAACTCATAAGCTGGTTGTCAATGGCCGCTATTGATGGCATATTTGGAAATTATTATGAAAAGCACTTTCTTCCCTAAACGTTCATCATGAGAGAAGTACACAGCTAGTGCACATTAGTTAACAAGAACAAACACCAATAGCAACGGTGTTACCTTGAATTTCCTGCCACATATCAGAACTGCGTATTAGGAAGGCTAGTGCGGCAAAACAAATGCCTTATAAACAACAACTATATTTAGCCCATATTCAGGTAGTTCATCTTCTGAACATAGCGACAAGTTTGTTCGAGACAAATCAACCGCTTCAGCCAAGTGAAAAGTTTAGTAAAGGAGACATTCGCTTTTAATCAAGTTTTACAAAAATATTTTTTGGGAAATGTTGATATGTAGCTGTAAGCGTTGCCTCATATACCTGAACTTACACTGAACGTTCCTGTGAACTACCTGTGATCTTCCTTCGCCATCTGTCATTCATTTCCGCGAAACCAATCAGCTCACAGGTGTAGAGTAGAGCCTTCTATTTTGTGGCAAAAATAAAACATTCATATTAGATTAGACTGGTGCTGAGCTAATTAATTACCTGACGGTTGCAATCGATCAACAACACAGTGACAAAAGTGGAATGAAAAATAACAGCGAAAAACATGAACAATAAAGAAACCGTTATCCAAGCACCACAAGTTACTGGAAAGCTAATTTAGGAAAAGGTACTGCTGCCAGTGCAAGTACAAAACACCAAAATACGCATTAAAGAAATTCTCTGGCGATTACTGGGAACACAGGTTTATTCTACACTAATAATAAGCACTTTTTTAAAATGGAAAATACAAAAACGACAATTATTTATAGTACAAATAAATAAACTCAACACAATCGAAAACAAGACAAGAACAACTTTGAAATGCCGTAACAAACTAAAGTGACTCGTAGTTCTCAGATTTCCGTCAATTTGCACTGCCAAACTTTTTCTTTTCGCTCCTAAAACTTGCCGACTTTTACTCTGATTCATTACACTCCTCCTGTTAATCGCTCCCGTTGACTTATTATAAAATAAACATTCTCATTAAACTGGCTAGGTTTAGCAGGCTGCAATTCAATTTCGCAGAATTTGTCAATTGCAAAGTGGTCTCCGGTAACTTGAACATACAGCCGTGGGTTCATTAGAAAAGCGAGAGTGAACGAAATTGTGTTTTAGCATTTCAGCCGAGCAAATACAGTACATTTTCCCCGTCACAGATAACTGTAGTCAGTTGATGTCACGCCAATTCACGGTATGTTTGCCAGCTTGATATCTTGATGGCAGCTGTCCCAGAGGCAGATGTATAGACAACCTGGCCAAGAGTATGGCAAAGAGCAGTAAAATAGAAGCTGCATACAACAGTGGGCTCTAGTGTGCCTCTACCAGTTGAATCTGTCAAACGTTAGAGATTCAGAAATCATTTCAAGCTCAATGTCCATCGATAAAAAGAATGAAAAAAGCAACTGAAAGCTAAGAAGGTTGTACGACAATTACAAAGTTGAAAAGTGAGATAAAAAATAAAAAACTTCCTTGACACTTGAATCGGTCGTTTTATAGACAATATCTTGCTTACCCTAAAAATAAATACTCTAAAACTGCACCGATTAATAACACAAAAACTTAAAATCGTTAGTTTGAACATGAAAGTAAAACAAAAGTCAATACAAGTTTTTGTGCTAGAGTACCAGCAAAACTGATCATTGATGGTCGTTGTTTTTCTTATTCAAAATGCCACACACATCGCAGGAAGTGGAAAGGTGCCTACAATTAGCATTGTAATTAGTATCACTTGAAATAAACACAGATTTGAAAGTAATGTTAGAGGAAAAGCAATTTATGTAAGTCTACAGACACATAGGAGTGCAAATTGAAAAGACAGTCATCCGACAGACGATATTTAGATTAACAAAGATATGTACAGGTGATGCGGTTTGTTTGATGGAGAACCGACTTAGTTTGACACCTCATTGCGTTCTTGCTCGAATTGCTCAGCCTGGCTGGGTTTGGAGCCAGGCACCGGTCGGCGAAACAATAAAATGTGCGGTTCCGGCTTGTGGATCATGTAGTGAATCCATCCCTGCGACTGTTGGACTCCAAGAGAGCGCCATTCTTGTTCCGTCATGAGGTGTGTTTTGGGGACTAACTTTACGTACTCCTTCGGCAGTACGACGTGTCTGTAAAAGTAAGGAGTCATTAGAATCACGCAATCGTTTAGAGAACATTTAGACAATCAAAAACATTACCGATACTCGTAGTGCTCGTCGTAGTACTTGTCCGAATAGTAGAAATCCTTGCCGTTCGGCATGATGGTGGAGATTCGGGGATGCTAGCGAGTTGATGGATGGAATTGATTACAATACAATTTATAAAGCACTGCGCGGGAAAAGTGAAACGCGTGTTTACGGCACAAGCAAACGACAACTAAACAACCGTAGCTGGCAGTTACGCTTAAAAGCGAGCCAATCAGAAAACAGCGCTGATGAAATTAAACTAAAAGAGGCGCTGTGGGTTGAAATAGTCACCAACGGTCGTAATTTTAGAATTTTGCCGGCAACAGTCAAGTTTATCTTCCTAGAATTCTCTTAGTTTTTTAAAGTATGGATCAAAAGTGGCCCACTATGGTAGTCAGGACCATCCCTCTCGGAGGACTACAACTGACTTAAAACGGAGCTATAATTCTCTTAGTTTTTTACAAAGGGTCATTTATCAAATTATCAAACTTGAACTCAGAGAATAAAACAATACGGCACACAAGCACCGAATTAATGAATTTACACGAAAACTAAATGTCAGTTTTTATTGAATGTAAAATCAATATAGTAAAAAGAATGTAAATTCACGGCAGCACAAAAAGAGCATGTTTTGTCCTCTTGCCAATAGCTGAGAAGTCTAGAATTCCCTGCTGTTAAATGTGCAAAAATGGTAACTTTTTGTCAAAGAATTAATGGCTGAGTTCTGTGCAAGAATTTGTGTGATAGAAGAAAGAGTGATTCAGTGTGTGTGTGTGTGTATTTGTGTGTATGTGTAGGTGTGTGAATATGCCATGCTAATCGGTGTAGTGTCTTCATGGAAGAACTCGATGATTCAGTTGACATTGCCGAATTGAAACTGCATCGGTGCTCTAGACTGCACCATCTGGAACGCAATCACTTGGAGTTGGGCATAATCGGGCCGGCGAGACGTTTCACCAGTCTGTGCTGCAGAATGGGAGCCTTGCTTATCTCCATGTACTTAGTGGCAGTGTACTTCTTTCGGCAATGCTGCAAAGATGTATCAAAAGATTAGCATCAGGCTGGCTGGTGTCGACTGCAACTCGATGGAACTAAACACTTACCTGGTACTTGGAAGTCTCAGAGTTGACAATGACCCGGCAAAGGACGGCAGTGTGCTTGACGATCTCCCCGCTCTTGTAGCCAGAGTAGTGCTCAATAGTGGGCGTCCAGAATGCTTCGGCATCAACGGAAAGAGGGCTCAATGAGCCGNCAAAGGACGGCAGTGTGCTTGACGATCTCCCCGCTCTTGTAGCCAGAGTAATGCTCAATAGTGGGCGTCCAGAATGCTTCGGCATCAACGGAAAGAGGGCTCAATGAGCCATTCTTCTCCAGCTCCATCAGGCGCAGAGACAGGTACAGCGCCGTGGCCGCCAACAGAGACGGGTTCCAGTGGGCGCACTCGTACTCGACCAGAGTCAGCTCGCAGAGATACTTTGCCAGCATGTGAGTGCGACCGTCGGCCTTGGCGGCCTTTGAGATCCGACGAAGAAAGTGCAGCGGCAGTGGACGACCCAGCTCAAACTTGAGCTTGCCCAGAATCTCCAACTCCATCTTGATAATGTCTCGCTTGGTGTAAAGCTTATCACACATGTCGACAAATTGGCCAATCTCGGGGTAGTAGATTTCTTCATACTTGGAAGCAATGAAGAGCGCCGTCACACCAACCAGTTGGAGTCGGGTCTTCTGCACGAGCTCCCGAGCCAGGAATCGATCAATAATAGACACGCAAATGTACAGCGTCTCGGGCGCAAGGTTGAAAGATTGATGCACCTGGAGGATCCAGTTGATGAGAATTGATCGCATGTTTGGCTGTACGGTGTTTTTGATCGCAAGAAAGTTAGGTTTAAGTGATTGCTTTTCCTGTAAAAGTTCAAGAGGTTAGTTACTATGAATGAATATGAAAGTAGTAAAAGGTGGTTCAACCTCGAGTTCTCGAAGGTACTTGTAAATATCCGCAGCATAATCAGAAAGAAGGTAGCAATTGTAGTCCTTGTCGATGTTCTCAATCACTTGCTTGACTGCCGGTGGCTTCTCAGATACCTTGCATTCCTTTCGGAACTTGCTTACAAAAGCTGTGCTCCCAGGAACGTTGTTCTCCTTCTGGTTCTCCTTCTGTTCAAGGGNTTGTAGTCCTTGTCGATGTTCTCAATCACTTGCTTGACTGCCGGTGGCTTCTCAGATACCTTGCATTCCTTTCGGAACTTGTTTACAAAAGCTGTGCTCCCAGGAACGTTGTTCTCCTTTTGGTTCTCCTTCTGTTCAAGGGATGAAGATGAAAACTTGTGGCGAAAAATGGGAATCTTAGATAGGCCAGTCGTTGCCTGCTTGTTTGGCAGATGAATGTTCGCCTGGTTGTTAACCGAGCACAGGGCGCTTCGAGTTTGCAAAGGCTGAAAAGAATGAAGAGCATCTTAGTAAAAGAAAATGAAGCAAGAGACGGTACTTGCCATTTTTGCAGTTCTGGTAATCGTAGAGAGCGAGGGAGAGATCAAATACAAAAAATGAGATCGCTGGAAGGTGGCTAGTGATATTTATAACCGATTGTCTCTCTGCCTTGATGATTTGCAGATTCTCAGGTTCAAAGTGGTGTCTCTAGGAAGGGCCCAAGCGATAAAGTTGACCTGATGAAGAGACTCTCTCGGGCTGCTGTTTGCGGCAGACTGGGCTTTAAACGGCGCTTTAAATCCAACGGTCATCGCTGATTGGCTCTTGCAGAAGGCAACTTCTGGCGCTGCTATGCTGTGATTGCCGAGAAGTTTTCCCAATTTTTGTTTGTGTTTATTTGCGTCAGCATCAGCAGTTTGATTACTCGTCCGACGGAAGGGAGTATGACAGAAGAACGGAGTATCTATTCATCTGCTGGAAGTAGTGGTACTCGTAAAGGAAGTTTGGAAAATGGAGAAGAAGAATTTGAACCGGAAACTTTTCTGGAGCGACTCATATCAGCTGTGGAGCTTGAAGATGTGGAGAATATTAATCAATCACAGAAAAATATGTATGTTTTTGTTTGTTTGGTGGATTTTTTCTTCAAACTAACGCTTTTTATCCATATTAGGCTGAACAAATTTGAAAAGACTAATGAGATGTTAGTTAATTGCAATGCCCTCGGGCAAATTCACTTTGAAAAACTCAGCAAAGACTACCGTAAACATACGGCAAAGTTGGTGGAAATGCACAAAGATCTCGACTGGATCTTTCACCGAATACGATTTCTTAAACAAAAATTAAAACAAAAGTATCCTGACGTATCTTGTGGTTAGTAAAACTAAAATTTAGTTTACATTTGCAATATATTTACAAGCTGTCTTTTCCAGATCAAAACGTATCTAGTCTAGAAGATGATGCCAAAGAGGACACTCCGGTTCAGAATGTCTCATCTCTCTCAAAAACGGACGATAATAGCAAATATGACCAAATAGAAGAAAAAAATATTACGCATCATCCTACTGAAGTGGAATCTCATCAGAGTAAAAACGCTGTTACATAACTCAAAACTTTTGAATAAATATTTAATGAGTGAGTAGTAAAATTGCTGAACAGAGTTTGGGATTGGGTGAAAATAAGATAACAACAACAAAAATTAATCAACAAGAACAAACAAAAATGAATAAAAAGAACAACAACAGAAACAGTCTAAAACAATTTGAACAATTTGAACAATGTGAACAATGTGAAGCTCGAGGTGCTGAAAAGAAGTTTAAAAAACTGTCGTATAAAGAGAGAGAGGGAGCTACATCGTTGGCTGGCATAGTGGGAAGAAATAAAAAACATTTCCCGGAGACAGACGGCAGATAGATAGAAATAAGATTAGCTGCCTTTGCTGTTTCAAACTCGATGAGTGTTATCAGTGGGACAGTCCAAGTGCAAAGTTAAAGAATTTTTGGTGCCGAATTGGGTTAGTTTTTTGGTGACGAATATGGCTGAATTGAGCGACATTGCGTTTTCGATGACACGCTCAAGTTCGTAATTTCGTTGTTTGAAGGTCGAGGGGGCAAGCTGCTCTTCTCTTACTGTTTGGCATTGCTCTCTTCGACAGCAGCGGCAGCTTCATGGCTCTGGTGGTCCTCTTTGTGCGGAATAAAAAGAAGTGGGAACATGCCGATGATGCAGCCAATGGCCACTCCGATGGCCCTCCCTATCTGCGTCGCCCAGCGAGTGCGCGGCATCTGCAGCTGCACCAGACTGAGCTTGGGCGCCCTGACGCCCACCTTGTCGGCGATTCGCTCGACGTAGTAGGCTGACCCGACGCCGGCCACATCGGAGAGCGCATTGCCCAGACCGGCGGCGGCCATGGTGCTGATGCCCAGTGTGACGCCCAGCGTTAGGTCGATGTAGTCGCCGGCGATGATCATGATGAGGTTGTCGAGGAAGCCGAAGCCGATGAAGGGCAGTGAGGCGTGCATGGCCAGTGCCTGCAGCTGCCCGTAGGTAGGCGGCTCATGGGCGTGCGCCTGGTCGGTGTCGATGGGCGAGGGCGGCAGTTCGGTGGCGGTGGTGGCGGTACTACTGACTGCAGTGCCTGCGTTCTGAAGGTTCAGCTCCTCCTGGAGGGCCTTCCGCTCCTCCGGGTCGAGCAGTCGGACAAAGTTGCGCACCCGTTCCTTGTCGGAGAGAAAGGTCCTCACTCCGGTGTACTTGTGCTTGTACGCCTTGGAGGAGAGNCGGAGAGAAAGGTCCTCACTCCGGTGTACTTGTGCTTGTACGCCTTGGAGAAGAGAATCAGCTGGAAGTGACCGCCGCGAATGGAGGTCGCTGATGCTGTGGGCGNCGCCTTGGAGGAGAGAATCAGCTGGTAGTGACCGCCGCGAATGGAGGTCGCTGATGCTGTGGGCGAGCCGTGCATCAAGGCCGGCGCTCGCAGAATGTTCTTCAGCATTCTGATTGGGTGGCAGCAGCGAAACGGTGTCTGGTGGGAACAGGCAGGCTGGTGATGACGGACAGTATCAGCAGCAGGACTGAAGGGGGACACGGAAGCTGACTGCCGAGCAGACACTGTGCTTCTGCATTATGTACATTCGGACTGATTGATGATGATGATGATGATGATGATGATGGTGGTGGTGGGGATGGTAAGGTTAGAGGGGGAGATTGGTGTCCTTTGCTAGCTCTGTTATCAACTCGCACAGGCGGCAGCTCACGTGAAGAGATGCAGCAGGAGCAGGAGACAACACTGGCCGAGTGATGCTCAGTGCTCTGGAGAAGTCTGCTTGGCACACTGCTAAGTCGACGTACAAAATGCACAGACGCCAGACGATGAGAGACGGCGACTGGTCGGACATGAGCAGAGCACTAAAGTTGGCGCCACTTTGCCCAGGCAGACACACAGTCCCCTTTCCTTCTCGGAGAGCGTCAGTAGTGGTAGAGTGAAGAAGAGCAGACAAGTCAAGTCCCGCCACGGTGAGTCTGACCGTTGGATCACTTCAGGTACGGCAATATAAACGGTGCACTGGGCACAATGGCACACTAGCACCTAGTCTACCTCTCACACTGACACTCGCTTGGCGACACAGTCTAGTGGGCATTGGCCATTAAAAGGTAATTATTCTATCAGGTCTGGTGAATTACTGCTTTGGAACAAAGTGACAAACCGTAATTGGCAGCGGTTGCTTATTGGTTTCGACAATTATCGCAAAAAAGTAATCTACTAAGCAGGTAAAAAGTCAATATCAGAAATTAAGAAATAAAAATCTAATGTTTCTCAGGAGTTCTTCGAAAAAGTGCGATTTCCAGGTAAACCTAAAGGAACTTTATTATTCAACAAAATGCAAGAGAAATAATTGGTAGCATAAGAATCAGTGCAATGACCAAAGGTAGTGTCATCTAAAAAAATTCCACAAATGCTAATTGAATTCCCACTGGAATTGACACTGCTGCATTCAATTACAGGAATGCTCTTTTTTTGTGTCTTTATTCACCCACAAATACTCTTATTTCGTTGAGGTGCGTTCACATATCAATTCAAATTAATTATACGTCAAATCCCCGTTAGTTAAAAACCCAAGTCTCTCTTTAATGTTCCAGTTAGCTTTCAGTAAAATGTAGACAGATTTATATGAGAAATGTGTACCAGAAAGAGATGAGTGTATACAAAGTTAATGTAATGATGAAAGAATTAAAGCTGTTCAATGTGATCTGCAAAAGGCTTCAAAAACGGAAGCTAAATGGATGTGTGTTGAGTTAGTCTGCAAAACAGCTCAGTTGGGCGCATTAATGTCTCCGAAATCGCCTATATTTGGGGAAAAGGGGAAGGTGGCAGAGAAAGTGAATCATCATTAATAATTTATTTGAGATAATGATCTACCAAGCTCGATAGGAAAGTGTATACTGAGTAATATGTACCCCATTGAAAGAATAGTTTGTAAAATTAAATGAATGTTATACCCGGACTGATGTGTTATAGTTAGAGAAAGACTAGCATTTGGCATATAAAAAAAGTCAGAACTGAAATAAGAAGTTGCCATGTGAAAGAAAATAAAAGTAAATCTCACTTAGGAACGTTCGCGTCACTGCGGGTCGAAGTTGGAGTATTTGTGGAAGAGCAGGTGGATGGAGAATTGGACTGGGCGACCATCTGCTCCAGTGCCTGACGCTTTCTCGAGACGATGCCCACCGGTGTGGTGACAACAGGCGAGTCCTGCTGCAGTGTTTCAATATCGTTAAAGATGACCTGCGCACCACCGGTAGAGGAGGGAATGACCTTGCCCTTGAAGACTTGCGTTTGAATGTTGCCACTATCGGTGGCCTCATGGTGGGTGACGGCGTACTTTGTGTATTTGCCACTTTTGAAATCACTGGGTTTTAGGTTGGTCACCGATTTACTGTTCTTAATCTGCGGCTGCAAGACGGTGCCCGTTTCCAGGGTGCCTGGCGGTTGGTGTTCAATCCACTTTCCTGCGCCTTCCATCAGGTTGGATGTAAACTTTGGATTTGCCACTGGTGGTCCATTCGGATTACCACGGTCGACTGTGGTAATTGTTGTGGTAACTTGCTGCTCATCGTAAAGCACTTTGGGGCGAGTTTGGCCATCAGCTTCATTAGAAAGGAAGCTTTCCGGAGGAGACATAATATTATTTAAGTTGCTGAGGATGTTGTTGTCCCCAAGAAGAATTTGAGTAGCAAGATTAATCTTTCCCATTTGAAGGCACTTTGCCTGTTCCAACTCTTTCTGTTTTGAATTCATTATGTCCTGGCACATTTTCTTCATTCGCACCCTCTCCTTCGCCATGTAGTCTTTGAGGTCAGTTCGAAGAGAATGGTTTTCGGTCTGAAGCTCTCTACACTCCGCTTCCTTTTGCTCGAGTAAACTCTCCAGCTGTGCTATTCGCTGCTGCTGTTCTTCAGTCATATTGTTATAGCCGTCTCGCGCTTCAGTCACCTCTCGCAGTTTCGCCTCCAGCCGGTGAACGTGATCATTGCGTACATCAAGGTCCCGTTTGTACGTTTCACATTGCTGCTTAAAGTTGTTCCTCTCATTCTCGATGAGAGAAATCGTCTGTCGAATGGCCGACATTCTTCGCAGCATATTTTCCTGCGCCTTTTGCATCGCATCTTTCCGCTTTTCAGCAATGGTGATCCACTCAGGTATAACTGTTTCATCGCTTGGATCTTCGAGAAATCGCTTCGGAAATGGAGGGCCAAAGGTAAGCGGAGAGCACAGGTCGTCGTCAAAGGCCAGATGTTTAAAGCGAATGCCGCGACTTGCATTAGTTGTAATCTCCTGAGACTGCTCTCCGAAAATGAGAACTTGCTGGGTCTCGTTGAAGTCATCGGCACCTGGATTGAGGCAAAGGACCATCTTCACGGCGCCTTCACCTTCAAAGTAATTTTTGAAAAGGTGAGTCAGCTTACTATCACGGTACGGAACAAGCTTATTGGCCTTCCCAGNTGAGAACTTGCTGGGTCTCGTTGAAGTCATCGGCACCTGGATTGAGGCAAAGAACCATCTTCACGGCGCCTTCACCTTCAAAGTAATTTTTGAAAAGGTGAGTCAGCTTACTATCCCGATACGGAACAAGCTTATTGGCCTTCCCATAAGTTTTCTGGTTTTCACGAAGAATGTCGAAACAGTTGCGCAGTGACATCAACGAGTTGTTGATATTAGATGCTTCTTTCAGTCGACTGCCAGTGGCCTGGGTTTTAGTGGTGCGCTCACAGCCGGCAAGGTCGACAATCGACAGTTGGCTAACGTGGATGTACTGCTTGTTTTCGAGAATTTCAGTGCCATTCTGATCCAGTGGCGCTTGAACCAGGCGAATCGTAAATACAGAGTGTGAACGACTAGACTCTGCATTCATTTGAGTCTTGCCAATTTTTCGCCGATTGACGCCCTTCAGGAAGGCGTCAAAGGCCTCATCGGCACTTTTGACTTCGACCTCGACGACATTCAACACGTAAACACGCTTGTTAGCATCCTCGCGAATAGTCTTTGAAGCTCGCATAATGGGCTGTTGCTGTGAGCGCATTCCTGATCTGGCTGGGGTGTTCACTTCAATCGAATCGTCAAGAAGGTCATAGATGTAGTTGTTGTAGACTTCCACGAAAGAAACGAAAACAGCATAGTTGTTGTCGTGATTAATCGTTGCAATTAGGCCTTCTTCGCGAGTGCGACTGCCCCATTTCGCTTGCAAGCGCTCCAAAGTTTTTATATCGTCACGAACTGAGCGAGGAGTCATATGAGGCTGTCGATTAGTTGGTGTTGAAAGAACGTTGTTTTCTCTTTGAATTTGTAAGAGGGCATCGGGTGATGGTTTTATCTCAAATCCGTTCTGATTGTCAGGTTTGAACACGTATTTCATAGCCTGAAGGTTGTTGTTCTTAAGAGTGTTGAAAAGCACATCCAAAAGACGTGGTAAGATACCCGGTTGGTCAGCTTTGCCTGTGATGGTGAAAGTCTTTCCAGCGCCGGTGACACCGTAAGTGAAAAGAAGACCTAGAAAAACATGTTGATTTTATTTTAAAAAGGTTCATTGAAAAAATCCGTACCATTCTGTCCGCTGATGAGGTCTTGTACCAGAGGCAATCCAACCGTTTTGAAGACAACGCTCTGCTCGGTGTTTGCTTGAAACACATGCTTGAACTGATAGATTTGTTGTTGACCATTGCCAAACTGCGGTGCCACTTGCAACTGAGTGTTTGAAATCTGTTTCAATGCTGCCTCATCAGTACCGGCTTTCAGAGGTCGAAGTCGGCAGTACACTTCTAGCGGTTGCTGTTGTTTTCCTTGCCTCTTCGGTTTTGGAGCTGTGGGTGGTGGAGGCTTTTTGTTGCTAAAAGTATCAAAACAAATAAGAATCGGTTGAAGAGTTATGAGAGAAATAGAACCACTTACGATGGATTAGTGGGTATAGCCATTCTTGCTTCTGATTATCATGAAAAGGTAACGCATATGAGTAAAATAGAAATCGTAATATGTCGTTGAATGAAGAATGTTTGTCGCAGATGACAGTGTACAGCTGAATGGGTGTGTTAATGAGGTGTGGAAGAAGTGTTGTAGCCGTTCGACCTGAACTGTCAACGAAGGGCTTCGAAGACAAGACGGACCTAGCAAGGAAAACAAACACACTTCGGGATGAGAAAGTGAAGGGAGCGCGGCGAGAGTTTTTGCGCGATTTTGCAAGATTTGGCCGTTTCGTGAGAGCGCGCCGGTGGAGAATGCGCCGTGAGTTCGTTGCCAATGAAGCAGCCAATCGGCGAAGACTTTCATTTTGCTCAGCCAGAGGTAGCCGTAGCGCCACCTACTGCCAGTCTCATGTAGTCGCAAATGTTTTGAAAATCTGTTTGATAGACGCCGTTTGTAAGCTGAAACGTGCACACCGTCATTTCTGATAATAGATCTTCATTTGACAGTTTTGTCACTGCAAAGTGTTTAATCAAAAGTATTGATAATTTCTATAGAATTGAGCCTTTCTCACTTCCTTTCTCAGTATCCTTCAAGGTGCAAACGCCTATCAACGTAACCATGACAATGACAATCATCCGCAAGTCTGCTTTCTCAAGGATTGGAAATAGTGGTGGCCACTCAACCAGGTATGAATCCTGTTAGAAGATTGTTAGTGCCACTTATCAGACCTACACAACTGCATCAACTGAAGTCATTTTTGGACCAGTGGCAATCTACCGCCGGTGCAGGGGCAGTGGTACAGTTCGCGTCATCATCCTGTGGTGGCTACACTGCAGGTACGACATTGGTCGTTGATTAAGCTAATTGTTGCATGTCACATTTGCCATAGGGCGATGTATTCGCTATTCGCTAAGGCATATTGAGCATATTGAGCAAGAGAGAAAAAGGAAAAGTGCAGTACTGTACGAGAGAGGCAATACGAGAGTGGGAGAGAGAGAGACAACCGGCGTTTGCCGCCACTCACCGTACACTCAACAGTGCACGCATGGAGCAGGTGTTTTTGCATTATCACTCGTAGCAGAAGCAAGAGCAGACAAGTCGATGTTTGGCCTGGAGAGGGAGAAACTGTTTCTTCCCATCGCCACAACTTTGATTGACAAACTGAAACCTAAATCTCCGATGTTCTGAGTTGGTGCCCCTGGGCCCGCCTCTAGTCATCAGGTGAATGTTGCTGCTTCCACAAATGATCTCCCAATGTTCCTCCTGTTGGTGTTGTTTTTTGCAAAGATCTACCTGGTAGTGATACCGGCAGTCTTTCGCTACACCACCGTCCAGCGGCGACTGATGTTTCGCAATGAACACGACCGAGTGGTTCGATCACCGGAACGGTATGGCTTCAAGCGAACACAGGTGCTCTACCTCAACTCGGAGGACAACATTCGCATCGGCCTGTGGCACATACCGCCTCAACAAAATGTGAAGACAACTGCGACCGAAGCCAGTGCCGCCCAACCCTTCGCCGACGGCCGACCGGTGGTGATGTACGCCCACGGAAGCGGCGGGTCGAGGGCTTCGAAGCACCGGATCGCACTGTACCGCCTGCTGAGCGAGCGACTCTCCCTGCACGTGGTCACCTTCGACTACCGCGGATTCGCCGACTCGACCTACGTCTGGCCGACCTCGGAGGGCACGGTGACCGACGCGAGCACCGTCTACCGGTGGATCCTCCAGCAGGGCGCCACCCCGGACCGTGTTCTGCTGTGGGGCCACTCGCTGGGCTCGGGCGTGGTCGTCCGCCTGCTCAGCTCCCTGCCCGACTGCTCCTCGCCCTTGGCCGCCGTCCTGGAGGCGCCCTTCACCACCATCAAGGAGGTGCTGCAGCACTGCACCATCTCACGACTGTGGAACTTCCTGCCCTACTTTGAGGCCTGCTTCATGGAGCGCATCATCAACAACCCGGAGACGAACTTCGACTCGGTGTCTCTGCTGGACAGAGTTCGCTGTCCGCTGCTCTTCCTCCACGCCCGCGAGGACTGGATGGTGGACTACCGTTTGGGGGAGCGACTGTACCAGACGGCGATGAGCGTCCAGCCGCAGACAGTCCCTCGACCTCTCTTTTACGCTTTTCCACGCGAACACTCGCACAGTAAAATCGTCTACAGTGAACTACTGTATGACATCATCAGACAGTTCATTGAGCGCCATCCACCACAAGTGCATTCCACTGCTGCTGAGTCAGTCTCTGTACATATCAATGATTTTAATAATACAGATTAATGAGTCTGTATCTAATTAAACTATCAAAGAGTGATATCACTCAAAATGTCTGATGGCGCTTTTTTTAAANCAGTGAACTACTGTATGACATCATCAGACAGTTCATTGAGCGCCATCCACCACAAGTGCATTCCACTGCTGCTGAGTCAGTCTCTGTACATATCAATGATTTTAATAATACAGATTAATGAGTCTGTATCTAATTAAACTATCAAAGAGTGATATCACTCAAAATGTCTGATGGCGCTTTTTTTAAAAAAACACTGATGTTCTATTTTTTAAATACTGTTTGGTTAGTTTTTGTAGACTTGAAAATGTTGTTCTTAGAGTGCTGCTGATGACTCATTACACAGCTTAACTCAAAGTAGTTTTAGTGTCGCTAAAACACATCTTTAGCACTTTATGGCGGCCTCCAATGCCGACTGCAGCCGTCGTCAAGTTGTACCTGATCAGAGTTGCTGGTCAGCCATTTGCTGTTGTCGTCCATGCACTTGTGCGATTGTGGTCATGGTTTTGCTGTACCTACTTGCTGGCGTCTATTTCTTCTTCATACCAATTGTTTTCCGCTGTTCGTTTGCACTTCGCCGGGAGGTGCTCTTTTGCAATCACTACAACACCGAAGTGGATGGCTATGAAAGAAGTGGCTTTCCACGCATGAGAAGGCAGACTGTTCAAACAAAAGATGACATCAGTTTAGGTGAATGAATGGCTCATCAGTTGTCATTGCCAGTTATTAACTAGTAAATTGCTTGCTGATCACCAGGTGTCTGGTACATTCCCCCCTCCACCAATGAGAGTCACCCGGAGAGTCAACCACCGACTGCAAATATGACAGTTCTCTACGCACACGGCACCTCAGGCAGCCGAAGTGTGCACAATCGCCTGGTAACGTATCACCTGATGACGGAGAGACTGCAGACTAGTGTCGTCGCCTTTGACTACCGAGGATTCGCCGACTCAGTGGGCGGGCAGCCGACAGCCGATGGTATCATTAACGACACACTGGCTCTCTATGAGTGGATTCTCAGTGAACACTTGTCCACGCCAAAGGAAATCCTCTTCTGGGGCCAGTCACTAGGCACTGCCGTGGTAGTTGGAGCGTTGAGTCAACTGTCCGAAGAGATGACTCCACTGTCTGCCGTACTCGAAGCACCATTCACCAATATGCGTGAAGAGATTTGGGCATTTCCTCTTTCAAGATTTTTCAACTTCCTGCCATACTTTGAGTACGCATTTGTCGACCCAATAGTAAACGATGAAAAGCTCAACTTTGACTCTGTCGCACTTCTGCCCAAAGTAAAAGCGCCCCTTTTAGTGCTGCATTCAGAAGATGACCCCATCATTCCCTACCACATTGGAAAGCGACTTTACGAGAGTGCCAAGCAACTGCAACCAGCGAAAGTGGCCAACAAAACGACCTTTCACGGATTTCCACCAGGCAAAGAATACAACCATGATTGGATATGTCAAGCACCAGATTTGCCACACGTTGTGGCACAGTTTATTACCTCAGTGTTAAATTAGAAATGGTGTACACTATTCACTAGATTTTACACCTCCTCGTAGTGCTCCTCATCGACGATTCGATAACTTGCTTTCTTGTAGTTGATGATGTCCTGCGTTCGAA